TTCTAAAAATCAATTTTTCAAAACGATTTATCGGATTTGGACTCTTTGATGATTCATCGGTCTTGCAATGCACTCTGCGAGATTAGATACAGGACCGTGATATTGAGTCCAAACTGTAGTAAGCCCCAATGAACAAAACGGGATTCTCTTCCAAGACGTTCGAGGATGTCTACAAAACTCACCTAGTACTCCAAGCTAAGATAAAACAAAAAATTAGAAAAAAATATGCAAGATACCTAACTATACAAGATGGCTAATGCAACGCATGCAATAACGCAACTAAATTAGGCTCGACTACTTAACATGTTATTTGCAACAATTTCATAGCATGCGTTTAAACACATATCCAGTGAGGTAATAAACGACAATGCAAGTTTGAATGATGAATCGAGCCTCAATGTATGCAAAACAAATGAATGGATGAAACCATGCGAGATGCTAATTGAAACGTAATGCCCCTAATCTAACCTTCAAAAGCAGGTAAATAAAAATGAGAAAGACGTGGGGTTGGAAGACATACACATTATTACAACATTGATGCCCTCGGGTAGGAGGGTCTGAATAAACTAACTAGCTAAGCTAAACTACTTAAGTAATTATTGCAAAACTTGAATAAATAAGCTAGCTATCTAAAATAAATAATTATTACAACAAGTAAATAATTAATTATGCTAAGCTAATTAATTAAATAATTACAATAATGAACTAATTTAATTAACTACTTTAAGCTAATTAAATAAGTACAATACGAAGCTAATTAGCTAACTATATTAACTAATTAATTACAACACGAATTAATCAACTAGCCTCAGTAAGTTATTAAAACACGTAAGTGTAGACTTGACTTTCTTCGCGCCCCCCCCCCCTTTCGGAGAGGCGCGAATGGGTCTTCCACAGTTCGGATTCCTGTTACGGTTCTGAATCTAATCTCACAAAGTGCAATGTGAGACTGATAAAACCAAAGAGTCCAATCTGGCAAATCATTTTCAAAAATCGATTTTAAATCAAATAATGCCAAAATTGGATTGCTTTGCCAGATTACAGAGTCGCCACCTAAATATTTTATTTTTGAAAAATTTAGGAAACTCTGACTCGTGCCAAAGGCCACGTGTCCGTCATCACCAAAGTTGCCTCGGCTCAGGAACTTGGGTACGAGAGGAGAAGGTCCTGAAATGAGCACCCCGCTTGCCCGATCAAAGATCGGTCTCTACTAATCATGATATGTTGTTTTATAAACACGTGTTATTGTTCTGATTATTAGCTAACTTACTATGTGATGTGCACAACATACAATTATAGACTAAATCATTCGAGTTGGAACAAAACATCTCATGTTTGTTTTTTGAAAATGGTTTGAAGTTGTTACCCTCAAGTAGGCTAAAATGCGGATTTGCCACCCTCAAGTGGGCTTAAAACATGATTTGCTGATGAATTGTTCCAATTCAAGTAATAAAGCCTTCATCCACAAGCATTCATCCAGTTAATCACTTAAGCAAATAGCCTCATGGCAAGCATGCTATCATGGCATTACTCACACTCATGCAAGTATGCTAAAACATAAAACTTACAGTGTACTCCAAGCCAAAACAGAAACTAATTAAAAACAATGCATGATCCTAACTATACAAGATGCCTAATGCAACACATGCAATAATGCAATTAATGGGCTCGGCTATCTAAGATGGCATATGGAGCAACTTGATAACATGCTTTGAAACACGTCTTCAAAGAAGTGTATTAAAATACAATGTAGTTTGAATGATGCGTCGAGCCCGGTGCATGCAAGACAAATGAATGATGCACGCATGTGAGCATAAGGTATGCTGATTGAAAATGTTCCCTAATCTAACCATCGAAAGCATGTAAATAAAAGGGAGAAAGAGGTGGGGTTGGAAGACATGCACACACATACGCACCCTTATTACAACATTGTGCCCTCGCGAAGGAGGGTCCGAATAAATAGGGTAAGCTACACTAAACTAAGCTAATTATTACAAAACGAAGCTAATTAATTATTCTAAGCTAATTAATTACAGCACAATTGAATAACTAGCTATGTTAAGCTAATTAAAATATTACAAAATAGATTAAATTAATTAATTACAACACATGTAATAATTAACTACAACTAGCTAATAAAGCAATGAAGTGGCCTCGCGGGAGAGGGAGACATGCACGCTCGATTGCGTCCTCCTGAAAATCCATCGCCTTGCCACCAGTTGCCTCTGTTTTCACTTGCCTTGATCTCTGAACACTGTACAAACTTCCAGGTTGCCTCTGCTCCAACATAGGAACCCCCTTGCATAAAAATGAACTGGTGGCATGTCAACCCCAAAAGGTGGCTGTTAGCCACCCTAACCGGCCAGTCGGCTAGTGTAGGTGACCGGTCGGCTACCTTAAGTGGCCGGTTGGCCACCTGCTTTTCCAAAATGCTGTTTTTGCTGCAACAGAGAATAACAGAGGCAAAGCAAGGCATTTTGCAGGAAATGTATGTACTGCCACTCTCCTCATCATTTCTCAAGCTCAAAGGAGTGTAGCGCTTGGCTCTCAAGCCACCAATCAAGCATCTCAATGCATGATGGCCGAAGGACCAAGGTTGTACAAGTTAATGAATGCACAAACAAGACTCAAAGAGCCTCCACCCTATCATGCATAATCAAGGGTGTTGGAGAGCAAGAAACGTGACACGTTTCACCACTTTGAGTATGAAATGTCCCACGTTTCTTGTGTTTGGATTAACATCCGATCCAAACACATGCAATGCAACACAAATGCTTATCTTATTCATGTTTTACTTTGCTCATTTTATTTACACATTTTAGCCTTACCGAACTATTCTTTAGTTGGTTAAGTCCAATGTGAAAGTTCTCTAATGAGAGTGGGGTCAACCAAAGGATGGTTTAAGACATGAGAGAGCTCATGCCTTTGGCTAGGAGGAACCCTCAAAAAAGAGTTAAAGCCATTGAGCACAAGCTCTATCTTAAGCTTAAACACGAGCATAAGGTCAACCAACCCTCAAAACAAATGGACAAATGAGGGAGGTTGCAGACTTTTAGTGCTGAAATGGCATGACAAATAATGCTAGAATATGCAAGCAACACATGCACAACATGTTAACGGCCAAAAGCATTAAAACTAATGAAGAGCACTACACTAGAGGCATGCATTATCAAGCTTAAATGACCAAACCAGCTCTAGAAAGAGCTTAAACATGCCAAATTAGTGGCTAAATCATGCTGGAATAGAAGCTTAAAAGGCTAGAAAATCATGCGCACAAATTGGCTCGCAAGCAAGGCATAAAGCACAACTATCAAAAGCAATGAAAGAGTGAAATATGTGAGAGTGTGACAGAGGTATATGCACTGAAATCACATGCTAAATGATGCTATGGCATGCAAACAATACAAGTAAAGCATGTTAGAGGCCTTAAAACACTAAGCTAGTGAAGGCACTTGTATTATAGCTATGCAAAACAAGGCTCATATGACCAAAACCACTCAAAACAAAGTTAAAAGCATGGTAACTTAGTAGCTAAAATGTGCTGGAGTCAAGCTAACACAAGCTAGAATGATAGGCTAACTCATTAGGCATGCTAGGCTAGTAAGCACAATTACAATATAAGTACAAGAAGCAAGTGACCCAACCAGCCAAAACAGAGTTGAAACACGTCAAAATAGAGCCTAAAACATGCTTGAATTAATCTACAAAAAGGTAGAAATACATGCTCACATGTTAGGCCACTACACTTGCAAACACGACACGAGGAGGGGAGACCACCCCCTCCTATTTTGAACCTCAAAACAAACTTTCCACCACTAAAATTCCTCAAGAATTCAGTGGTTAAAAGGCCAAAAAGGTTGCTTTAAAAGCTTTGAAAAAAAGGCATAAAAGGCTACACAAGCCAAAGAGCAAAGTGCAAAGAGACAACCCCCTAACTCCAAAAAAGGCCTTAAACCATCATTTTTAAACCTTAAAAACAGAGGTTTTTGTAGTTGAAAAGTAGGCCAAAAATTGTAATAACCCGACCCTCGTATACAATTCTGATATATTTTCAGTCCCTATTCTGTGCTTTCAAATGCTTACTGTGAAATTCTATGAGAAATTAAGGTTAATTAAGTGAATCCTATGATTATGGATGCATATCTGTTTAATAAGAAGAATATCTGTCACAATTGGAATGTTTGAATCAGACATTGAGAGCCTTAGAGGCTTGATAATCCGAAATTGATTTTACATTTGAAATCAGCACGATTTTTGAGTCATAATCTGATTCTCTGTGAAATTTCAATTTGGAATGATGAAATTGATTGATTTTTGTCCTATTCACCTTATATATATATATATATATATATGTCTATATTCTCTCAATGTTGACTTAAAAGCTCTAAGCAAAAATATCTTGAGAGAGAGGGAAGAGAAGGATTTAAGAGGAGGAGTTCTTCAAGGAAGGATTTGGGGGAAATTTAGGAGGTTGTAGGAAACTTGATTCAAGGTATGTCTTCTCATTGCTAATTAACCTCTCTCTTTGAATAGAGAAGCAATTCCTCTAGATTATTATGCTAAATGGTTACTTGAGTTGTTATTTCTTGTATTGAATTAATTTGGAATTGTGTTAGATTTTCTAGTGAGGTATCTAATGAGAATTTTATCTTATTTTCCTCAATTATCAAACTTGAATCGATCTACATGGTTGTATGTGTGTGTGTGTGAGTGTCGATGTGTGAGGAATTGGAAATAGTGTGGAATTGGGTTATGTTCATAAGGTTTAGAGATTACACTAAGATTGATATTTGTTGTAATATTTGTGTACATGACTTTTGAACCTTACTTCATCACTTAAAGGGCCTACCTTGAGCCTTATCAGAGCTTACCAAAAGTTGGGTTTTTGTGTGATTTCGGACTGCCCAAACAGAGGAATCACCGCATGTACGGGGGTTATGGTCGCATGTGCGGGAGCATCTGCCCCACGTGCGGGAGCATCTGCCGCACGTGCGGGAGTCATGGCTGCACGTGCGGGAAATTGTGAAATTTGGGAATTTGGCTACTGCTTAAAAAGCATCATAAATTGGCCAACTCCTATCAATGTGACTGAGGTGCGTAGTTTTATGGGGTTAGTCGGATATTACAGGAGGTTTGTCCAAGATTTTTCCAAATTCGCTGTACCGTTTACTCAATTGACTAAAAAGGGAGCTGTGTTTGAATGGTTAGAACAGCGGGAATCTGCTTTTCAGGAATTAAAAACGAAGTTAACTACAACTCCGGTTCTTGCTTTGCCATCTAGTAAGGAGGGATTTTTGATTTACAACGATGCTTCCCATAAAGGATTAGGGTGTGTACTTATGCAAAGTGGAAGAGTTATCGCCTATGCTTCACGCTAACTTAAAACCCATGAAAAGAATTATCCCACACATGATCTTGAGCTAGCAACAGTAGTTTTTGCCTTGAAGATATGGCGGCATTATCTGTATGGCACTACTTGCGAAGTTTATACCAATCACAAAAGTCTCAAGTACCTTTTTACTCAGAAAGAGTTGAACATGCAACAGCGACGTTGGCTAGAGCTGGTTAAAGACTATGATTTGCAGATCCATTACCATCCGGGTAAAGCCAATACGGTTGCAGATGCACTTAGTCGGAAAAATATGGGAGATTTAGCAAATTTTTTTGCAGAACAAGAGGAGTTAATGAATGACTTAGATAAGATAGAAGTGAACTGTGTGATGCACGGTCAGAAAGCCATAGTAGCAGTAGTAATGGTCCAACCGGCATAACTTGAAGAAATCAAACTACGTCAAATGGAAGACGAAACTTTAAGGAAAATCTGTGATGAGTTGGAGATGAAGCCAAAACAGGGGTTCAATTTGGAAAACTCAGTGTTCACATTTCAAGGCAGAGTATGTGTTCCCAACGTATTAGAAGTCAAGTGGAAATTAATGGAAGGAGCTCATTCCTCGAGATTTTTAGTACATCTGGGAAGTACTAAAATGTATCGGGAGTTAAAACAAAACTTTGGTGGCAAAGTATGAAAAAGGAGGTTGCAGAGTTCATTGTCCTGTCCAGGTCGTCTTTTTCAGCACAACGTTCCACCCTCAGACTGACGGTCAAACTGAGAGAACGATAGATACATTAGAAGACATGCTCCGAATGTGTGTTCTGGATTTTCAGGGAAGTTGGGAAACCCATCTACCGTTGGTAGAATTCGCATACAATAATAGTTATCATTCAAGTATCAAAATGGCACCCTACGAGGCTCTGTATGGAAGACCATGTTGTTCCCCCGTGTGTTGGGCCGAGATCGGAGATGGATCATTGCTAGGGCCTGAAATTGTTCAGTTGACGACTGAAAAGGTTAAAATTATTCGAGAAAGATTGAAAACTGCTCAAAGTAGGCAGAAGAGTTATGCGGACAACCGACGAAGGAATTTAGAATTTGAGGTGGATGGTCATGTGTTCGTGAAAGTCACCCCAATGAAAGGACATCCGAGGTTAGGAAAAAGGGGTAAGTTAACACCCCGATATGTTGGTCCCTTTCAAATTTTGGAAAGAGCAGGTCCGGTAGCTTACCGAGTTGCTCTTCCGCCAAGTGTGAGCCAAGTGCATAATGTGTTTCATGTCTATATGCTTCGGGAATATCTTCCAGATCCGTCCCATATCATGGATTACCACCAAATTATGTTGGATGACAAGTTAGCTTATGAAGAAAAACCAATTCGAATTTCGGATCGGCAAGTGAAACAGTTCTGCAATTGAGAAATTCCAATGGTAAAAGTGGAATGGCAAGAACATTACAGAACTGAAGCTACTTGGGAAAAAGAATAGGAAACGCGACACCAATATCTACATCTGTTTCTGTTTTGAGGTAAAACAAGTTTGAGGGACCAAACTTATTTAAGGGGGGGAGAGTGTAATAACCCGACCGTCGTTTACAATTCTGATATATTTTTAGTCACTATTTTGTGCTTTCAAATGCTTACTGTGAAATTCTATGAGAAATTAAGGTTAATTAAGTGAATCCTATGATTATGGATGCATATCTGTTTAATAAGAAGAATATCTGTCACAATTGGAATGTTTGAATCAGACATTGAGAGCCTTAGAGGCTTGATAATCCGAAATTGATTTTACATTTGAAATCAGCACGATTTTTTAGTCATAATCCGATTCTCTATGAAATTTCAATTTGGAATGATTAAATTGATTGATTTTTGTCCTATTCACCTTTTATATATATGTCTATATTCTCTCAATGTTGACTTAAAAGCTCTAAGCAAAAATATTCTGAGAGAGAGGGAAGAAAAGGAATTAAGAGGAGGAGTTCTTCAAGGAAGGATTTGGGGGAAATTTAGGAGGTTGTAGGAAACTTGATTCAAGGTACGTCTTCTCATTGCTAATTAACCCCTCTCTTTGAATAGAGAAGGAATTCCTCTAGATTATTATGCTAAATGGTTACTTGAGTTGTTATTTCTTGTATTGAATTGATTTGGAATTTTGTTAGATTCTCTAGTGAGGTATCTAATGAGAATTTTATCTTATTTTCCTCAATTATCAAACTTGAATCCATCTACATAGTTGTATGTGTGTGTGTGTGAGTATGGATGTGTGAGGAATTAGAAATAGTGTGGAATTGGGTTATGTTCATAAGGTTTAGAGATTACACTAAGATTGATATATGTTGTAATGTTTGTGTACATGACTTTGAACCTTACTTCATCACTTAAAGAGCCTACCTTGAGCCTTATCAAAGCTTACCAAAAGTTGGGTTTTTGTGTGATTTCGGACTGCCTAAACAGAGGAATCGCCGCATGTACGGGGGTCATGGCCGCACGTGCGGGAGCATCTACCGCACGGGCGGGTGTCATGGCCACACGTGCGGGAAATGGGGAAATTTGGGCATTTGGCTACTGCTTAAAAAGCACATGCGAGGCATCACTGCCGCGCGTGCGGGGCTCATAGCCGCACGTGAGCGCCGCACGTGTGGCCCATGCTGGGAAATTTGGTTTTCTCCGTTTTACGTGCCTAACCCTCTGATGTTGTTGGAATATGCATTTAGTGCCTTTTTGATAATTGTAAATTCGTTCGCCGAAAAACGAGTCCGAAAATGGTTTAACAAGTAAAAAGAACTAACTTGTGAATTATGTATGTGTGCAGGGCACACTCCGGGAGGAACTAGCGCTCTGCCACAACACTGTGAGTAGTAGTACTGTAGTAGTACGTGTTACTTATCGCTAATAGTTGTTATTGGCATTCTGCAACTTGTATATCAAGTATGTTAACCCGTGAATGACTGAAAGGAGGTGTGAACTTCCATACAACTCTGGAACTCTGTATGACACTGAAACTATTATGCTCTGATGATATCTGGGCCTATGGCCAATCTGTAAGCTCTGTTAGGCCTATGGTCATTCGGTATAATCTGTTATGGTATGGAACAAAGTATTGTGCGGAACTAAGTGCTATAGTGTGAGTTACCTGTAGAATCCATGCAAGACACTTCTTGAGGTCATACATGCAAGACTGGGCTTAATGCCACTCTGTTTAAGGGCTTAATGGCACTCTATTTAAGGGCATAATGCAACTCTGTTGAAGGGCTTAAAGCCATTGTGTTTAAAAACTGGGCCTAAGGCCGTTATGAAATTGGCACAGAATCAGATTAACCACATGATCTCTGCATTTACATATGCATTGATATGTCTTATAATTTAAGTTGAGCATCGACTTGTTTAAGTACTGTTATTCACTGAGCCTGGCTCACTCTGTGTTATGTCTGCTTCTGTAGGTAACCAACCGGGAGGTCAGTCCTAACCAATGACGCCCATTTTCTTTTGTCAACCTCTGTGTGTCTAGGCCCTAGATGAAGCCACTCATATTTTTGTGAAGTTTTGTTAAGATGTTGACTCGTACTTTAATTTTCTGTCTAAGGTTAAATGTACATAACTTCCTTAGCTCCAATGTTTTTGTTATATGCCCAATCATAGGGCTGGGTCTGTATATGTGTATATATATAACCGATGCTCAGGTGCATGTTTCTCTATATTATTCACCTGTTATGATGTTTGTGATCCTGGCATAGTAGTGGTAGCTCAATGGAGACTGGTTTCTATCATTTTGTGGTATTTAACGCTTCCGTTCAGGCCCCGTAGGTTAAGTATGTCTGGTTAAATGTCTGTTTCTGAATAGGTCATGTCCAAACTTTTAGGGGCGAGTTTGGGGCATGACAAGTGGTATCAAAGCACGAGTTGCCATCTCACACATGGATCCATTGAGCTTTAGGGTGTCTAGAAAAGACTTAGGCATCGTGCATGACATCCTGAAAGCATATGAAAAGATCGATGGCAACGTTAAATGTACTCTGCTAATGTTAACAATTTTGAACTATGTCTATTGTACATAATTTATTGTTATGTAGACTATGGTGAGAACAAGGACAGAAGACCTGGAAGATGCTACTTCTGCACGGTTGGACAGAATGGAAAGAATGATCACGGAAATGGCGGAGACCTTACGGCAACAACAACAACAGGAACAACCACAACCGCCACCACCACCGGTACCTCCACCTGTAGTACTAGATTTTCAAGTTGAGGACCGAACCATTACACTCACAAAGGAGTTTAAAAATATGAAACCGCCATCGTTTAAAGAAGGAATAGAACCAATGAAAGCTGAGGCGTGGGTGTTGGGAATAGAAAAGTTGTTCGAAGTTTTCCCTTGTACCGAAGCTCAAAAGGTGCAACTTGATGTCTTCACTCTCGAAGATGAAGCACGGAGGTGGTGGATGCTTACGAGAACTGTACACCCGGGATTAACATGGGACAGATTCTTGGAGCTGTTTTATGATAAGTACTTTTCTCAAAGTATACGAGATAAGAAGGTGACAGAATTTGAAACTCTCAGACAAGGGAACAAGACCGTTGCAGAATATGAAGCCTAATTTGCAGAATTAGCCCGGTTTGCACCTCATATGGTGGATACGGATTATAAGAAGACGCGTAAATTTGAAGGAGGGTTACGGAGTGCCATCCTAGACAAAGTCAACATGTTAAAGTTACCTACCTATGTCGATGTGTTGGAGAGGACTGTTATAGCAGAGGGAAACTTTACTGCTCAGAGTCAGATTTCTGAATGGAAAGGAAAGAGGCAGAATAATCAATTATCGAGGGGGTCAACTGCTCCCGCTAGCAAGAAACAAAACTCAGGGACTACAAGTGTTTCCATCCTTACACCAGACTCAATCCCTGTTTGTTCAGAATATGGAAAAAGGCATCAGGGAACATGCTATCAGAAATCTGGAGCCTGCTTTAGGTGTGGCAAAACGGGTCATTTGATAAGGGATTGCCCTCAAGGGAATCAACAAAATAGTAATAGGGCTGCCACAAGTTCAGCGGGTTCTACACCAGCTCCCAATACCAAGCCAGCTGCCAAATCTACTAACAACAAAGACACTGTACGATAAGGCAGGGTGTTTGCATTGGTTCTAGGAGATGTGCGAAATGCCGCAACAGTGGTGTCAGGTACATTTATTGTTCACGATTATTCTGCTCATGTATTGTTTGATTCTGGCTCTACCCATTCCTTTGTGTCAAAACTGTTTGCTCCCAAATTAGATAAATCTGAAGAAGTATTATCTTATATGTTAGGTGGGTCCTCACCCTTGGGGGATTCTATGATCTGTGCTTCTGTATATTTTGCTTGTGAACTCCAACTTGGGGACATCAGGGTATATGCGAATCTGTTACCTTTTAACATGACCTATTTTGATATTATTTTGGGAATGGACTGGTTGAGTGAATATGGTGCCACTATAGATTGTTTAACTAAACAAATCAATTTTCACCCTCCGGGACAATCAGAGTCTACCTTTCAGGGACAGGGGGTGGCTTTTCCACCTTATTTGGTTTCTGCGGCAAAGGCTTGTAAACTAATTCAGAAAGGGTGCCAAGGGTATTTATGCAGTATTTTGGAAGGGCAGTTAATGGGCGGAAGTACCGACATGATTCCAGTTGTCTGTGAGTTTCTGAATGTTTTTCCGGAAGAACTACCGGGGGAGTTAGTGGACCGTGAAATTGAATTTACCATTGAAGTGATACCGGGAACCCAACCTATTTCTAAGACCCATATAGAATGTCACTAGTTGAAATGAAGGAATTAAAGACTCAGTTACAGGATTTACTTGATAAGGAGTTCGTTCGCCTTGGGGTGCACCAGTTCTGTTTGTAAAAAAAAAAAAAGTTGGAACACTCCGATTATGTATAGACTACAAGGAGCTTAATAAAGTGACAATCAAGAATAAGTACCCATTGCCGCGGATCAATGATTTATTTGACCAATTACAAGGAGCACATGTCTTTTCAAAAATTGATCTACGGTCCGGATACCATCAATTGAAGGTCAAAGCTGATGATGTTGAGAAGATAGCTTTTCGAACTCGATACGGTCACTATGAATTTCTAGTTATGCCCTTTGGAGTTACCAATGCACCGGCCGCATTTATGGATTTGATGAATCGTATCTTTAAGCCTTACTTCGATGAATTTGTGGTGGTCTTTATTGATGATATCCTCATTTACTCGAAGAATGCTGAAGCCCATGAGAATCATCTCCGCATAATTCTTCAAACAATACGAGAAAAGAGGTTGTATGCCAAACTGAAGAAATATGAATTCTGGCTACGTGAGGTAGCATTTCTAGGGCATGTAATAACGAAGGAAGGAGTCTCTGTTGATCCACACAAAATTAAGGCAATCGTGAATTGGCCAACTCCTACCAATGTGACTGAGGTGCGTAGTTTTATGGGGTTAGTCGGATATTACAGGAGGTTTGTCCAAGATTTTTCCAAAATCACTGTACCGCTTACTCAATTGACTAAAAAGGGAGTTCTGTTTGAATGGTCAGAACAGCGGAAATCTGCTTTTCAGGAATTAAAAACAAAGTTAACTACAGCTCCGGTTCTTGCTTTGCCATCTGGTACGGAGGGATTTGTGATTTACAGCGATGCTTCCCATAAAGGATTAGGGTGTGTGCTTATGCAAAGTGGAGGAGTTATCGCCTATGCTTCACGCCAGCTTAAACCCCATGAAAAGAATTATCCCACACATGATCTTGAGCTAGCAGTAGTAGTTTTTGCCTTGAAGATATGGTGGCATTATCTGTATGGCACTACTTGCGAAGTTTATATCGATCACAAAAGTCTCGAGTACCTTTTTACTCAGAAAGAGTTGAACATGCGACAGCGACGTTGGCCAGAGCTGATTAAAGACTATGATTTGCAAATCCATTACCATCTGGGTAAAGCCAATACAGTTGCAGATGCACTTAGTCGGGAAAATATGGGAGATTTAGTAAATTTGTTTGTGGAACAAAAGGAGTTAATGAATGACTTAGACAAGATGGAAGTGAACTATGTGATGCACGGTCAAAAAACCATAGTAGTAGCAGTAATGGCCCAACTGGCATTACTTGAAGAAATCAAACTACGTCAAATGGAAGACGAAACTTTAAGGAAAATCTGTGATGAGTTGGAGACGAAGCCAAAACGGGGGTTCGATTTGAAACACTCAGTGCTCAAATTTTAAGGCAGAGTATGTGTTCCCAACGTATTAGAAGTCAAGCGGAAATTAATGGAAGGAGCTCATTCCTCGAGATTTTCAGTATATCCGGGAAGTACTAAAATGTATCGGGAGTTAAAACAAAACTTTTGGTGGCCAAGTATGAAAAAGGAGGTCACAGAGTTCGTTTCTAAATGTCTGCAATGTCAGCAGGTAAAAGCAGAACATCAGAGACCAGTAGGATTGTTGCAACCCCTTCTAATCTTGGAATGGAAGTGGGAACATCTTACCATGGATTTCGTAGCAAGATTACCACGGACTCCTCGGGGTATGAATTCTATATGGATCATTGTAGACTGATTGACTAAGTTCGCTCACTTTTTACCTGTGAAGACTCAATATAATGCAGATAAACTTGCTGTGATTTACGTGAATGAAATTGTAAGACTCCATGGTGTTTCGGTCTCAATTGTGTTAGACAGGGACCCAAAGTTCGTTTCGAGATTCTGGCAAAGTCTGCAGGAAGCAATGGGTACAGAATTAAAATTCAGCACAACGTTCCACCCTCAGACTGACGGTCAAACTGAGAGAACGATAGATACATTAGAAGACATGCTCCGAATGTGTGTTCTGGATTTTCAGGGAAGTTGGGAAACCCATCTACCGTTGGTAGAATTCATATACAATAATAGTTACCATTCGAGTATCAAAATGGCACCCTATGAGGCTCTGTATGGAAAACCATGTCGTTCCCTCGTGTGTTGGGCCGAGATTGGAGATAGATCATTGCTAGGGCCCGAAATTGTTCAGTTGATGACTGGAAAGGTTAAAATTATTCGGGGAAAGATTGAAAACTGCTCAAAGTAGGCAGAAGAGTTAAGCGGACAACCGGCGAAGGAATTTGGAATTTGAGGTGGATGGTCATGTGTTCGTGAAAGTCACCCCAATGAAAGGACATCTGTGGTTCGGAAAAAGGGGTAAGTTAACACCCCGATATGTTGGTCCCTTTCAAATTTTGGAAAGAGCGGGTCCGGTAGCTCACCGAGTTGCTCTTCCGCCAAGTGTGAGCAAAGTGCATAACGTGTTTCATGTTTCTATGCTTCGGGAATATCTTCCAGATCCGTCTCATATCATGGATTACCACCAAATTATGTTGGATGACAAGTTAGCTTATGAAGAAAAACCAATTCGAATTTCGGATCGGCAAGTGAAACAGTTCTGCAATTGAGAAATTCCAATGGTAAAAGTGGAATGGCAAGAACATTACAGAACTGAAGCTACTTGGGAAAAAGAATAGGAAACGCGACACCAATATCTACATCTGTTTCTGTTTTGAGGTAAAACAAGTTTGAGGGACCAAACTTATTTAAGGGGGGGAGAGTGTAATAACCCGACCCTCGTTTACAATTCTGATATATTTTTAGTCACTATTTTGTGCTTTCAAATGCTTACTGTGAAATTCTATGAGAAATTAAGGTTAATTAAGTGAATCCTATGATTATGGATGCATATCTGTTTAATAAGAAGAATATCCGTCACAATTGGAATGTTTGCATCAGACATTGAGAGCCTTAGAGGCTTGATAATCCGAAATTGATTTTACATTTGAAATCAGCACGATTTTTAAGTCATAATCCGATTCTCTGTGAAATTTCAATTTGGAATGATTAAATTGATTGATTTTTTTCCTATTCACCTTTTATATATATGTCTATATTCTCTTAATGTTGACTTAAAAGCTCTAAGCAAAAATTTCCTGAGAGAGAGGGAAGAGAAGGATTTAAGAAGAGGAGTTCTTCAAGGAAGGATTTGGGGGAAATTTAGGAGGTTGTAGGAAACTTGATTCAAGGTATGTCTTCTAATTGCTAATTAACCCCTCTCTTTGGATAGAGAAGGAATTCCTCTAGATTATTATGCCAATGGTTACTTGAGTTGTTATTTCTTGTATTGAATTGATTTGGAATTTTGTTCGATTCTCTAGTGAGGTATCTAATGAGAATTTTATCTTATTTTCCACAATTATCAAACTTGAATCCATCTACATGGTTGTATGTGTGTGTGTGAGAGTATGGATGTGTGAGGAATTGGAAATAGTGTGGAATTGGGTTATGTTCATAAGGTTTAGAGATTACACTAAGATTGATATATGTTGTAATGTTTGTGTACATGACTTTTGAACCTTACTTCATCACTTAAAGGGCCTACCTTGAGCCTTATCAAAGCTTACCAAAAGTTGGGTTTTTGTGTAATTTCGGACTGCCCAAACAGAGGAATCGCCGCACGTGCGGGGGTCATGGCCGCACGTGCGGGAGCATCTGCCGCACGTGCGGGAGTCATGGCCGCACGTGCAGGAAATGGTGAATTTCGGGGATTTGGCTACTGCTTAAAAAGCACATGAAGGGCATTACTGCCGCACGTGCGGGGCTCATAGCCGCACGTGCGGCCCATGCTGGGAAATTTGGTTTGCTCTGTTTTACGTGCCTATCCCTCTAATGTTGTCGGAATATGCATTTGGTGCCTTTTGATAATTGTAAATTCGTTCGACGTAAAACGAGTCCGAAAATGGTTTAACAAGGAAAAAGAACTAACTAGCGCTCCGCCACAACACTGTGAGTAGTAGTACTGTAGTAGTACATGTTACTTATCGTTAATAGTTATTATTGGCATTCTGCAACTTGTATATCAAGTATGTTAACCTATGAACGACTGAAAGGATGTGTGAACTTCCATAAAACTCTAGAACTCTGTATGACACTGAAACTATTATGCTCTGATGATATCTGGGCCTATGGCCAATCTGTAAGCTCTGTTAGGCCTAGAATTGGGTTATGTTCATAAGGTTTAGAGATTACACTAAGATTGATATATGTTGTAATGTTTGTGTACATGACTTTTGAACCTTACTTCATCACTTAAAGGGCCTACCTTGAGCCTTATCAAAGCTTACCAAAAGTTGGGTTTTTGTGTGATTTCGGACTACCCAAACAGAGGAATCGCCGCACGTGCGGGGGTCATGGCCTCACGTGCGGGAGCATCTGCCGCACGTGCGGGAGTCATGGCCGCAGGTGCGGGAAATGGTGAATTTCGGGGATTTGGCTATTGCTTAAAAAGCACATGCGGGGCATCACTGCCGCACGTGCGGGGCTCATAGCCGCACGTGCGGCCCATGCTGGGAAATTTGGTTTGCTCTGTTTTACGTGCCTAACCCTCTAATGTTGTCGGAATATGCATTTGGTGCCTTTTGATAATTGTAAATTCGTTCGACGTAAAACGAGTCCGAAAATGGTTTAACAAGGAAAAAGAACTAAGTTGTGAATTATGTATGTGTGCAGGGCGCACTCCGGGAGGAACTAGCGCTCCGCCACAACACTGTGAGTAGTAGTACTGTAGTAGTACATGTTACTTATCGTTAATAGTTATTATTGGCATTCTGCAACTTGTATATCAAGTATGTTAACCTGTGAACGACTGAAAGGAGGTGTGAACTTCCATACAACTCTGGAACTCTGTATGACACTGAAACTATTATGCTCTGATGATATCTGGGCCTATGGCCATTCTGTAAGCTCTGTTAGGCCTATGGCTATTCGGTATAATCTGTTATGGTATGGAACAAAGTGCTGTACGGAACTAAGTACTACAGTGTGAGTCACCTCTAGAATCCGTGCGAGACACCTCTTGAGTTCATACATGCAAGACTGGGCTTAATGCCACTCTGTTTAAGGGCTTAATGGCACTCTATTTAAGGGCATAATGCAACTCTGTTCAAGGGCTTAAAGCCATTCTGTTTAAAAACTGGGCCTAAGGCCGTTCTGAAATTGGCACAGAATCAGATTAACCACATGATCTCTGCATTTACATACGCATTGATCTGTATTATAATTTAAGTTGAGCATCGACTTTTTTAAGTACTATTATTCACTGAGCCTGGCTCACTCTGTGTTGTGTCTGCTTCTGTAGGTAACCAACCGGGGGGTTTGTCCTAACCAATGACGCCCGTTTTCTTTTGTCAACCTCTGTGTGTCTAGGCCCTAGATGAAGCCACTCATATTTTTGTGAAGTTTTGTTAAGATGTTGACTCGTACTTTAATTCTCTCTCTAAGGTTGAATGTACATAACTTCCTTAGCTCCAATGTTTTTGTTATACGCCCAATCATAGTGCTAGGTCTGTATATGTGTATATATATAACAGATGCTTAGGTGTATGTTTCTGTATATTATTCACCTGTTATGATGTTTGTGATCCTGGCATAGTAGTGGTAGCTCAATGGAAACTGGTTTCTATCATTTTATGGTATTTAATGCTTCCGTTCAGGCCCCATAGGTTAAGTATGTCTGGTTAAATGTTCGTTTCTGAATAGGTCATGCCCAAACTTTTAGGGGCGAGTTTGGGGAGTGACAAAAACAGCATGCAAAGGTGGCCACACAAGTGTGCAAAAATAATCTTAAGGAAGGTAAGTCTTGTACCTTTGAAGCACAACACTTAAACAGCCACTATCTAAGCCAAAACCAGCCTTTAGCAGCCCAAAATAGGTTCCAAGGGACCTCAGCCCAAAGATATGCAACTTTGATGAAGAATGTCTAGGCAAAGGAGAAGTGTATCTTTACTTCCATGCACACTCTCCTCTTTTATGCACAAAAAGGCAAGAGGGAGAGAACTTTAGAGAGAGAGGAATGTAGAGAGAGAGAGAGGCACCCAAAATTTGCTAACCTCTAAAACTATAGAGAATGGCCTCCATATATAGCAAAATACAAGCCTTGGGTCGAAATATCTGAATTAGTACAGTTGGAGCAATGTGAAAACAACTGGATGGAAAATATCTGCAAATTCTGAGCTTTCTGGACATTTGTGGCCGACCGGCCACTTGTGGGGGCCGACTGGCTACTTTTTTGGATGACAAGAAACCCTTTTAGCCGACATATGGCCAACAAAGGCCATTTGTGGCCGGCACATGGCTGACAAGCTTCACTGGTGGGCAAAAACTGGTTTCTGGCCCCAACTTCAATTAGGCATATCTCTTTCATCTGGACTCCTTTGCAGGTCATTCTTGTGTCCAAATTGAAGCAACAGAAGTAAGATTTCCAATGGTGAAGTATCACATAAAGTTCCATGTGTGCTAAGAGATATCCCTCTTTTAGTGAAGACTGCTCAGTTTTAGTCCAACTGGATTGATGCCTAACTTCAACCAGCCATATCTCCCTCATCTGGCCTTGGCTTGAGGAGATTATTGAGTGCAAAATGAAGCCCCGGAAGTCCAATTTCCAATGGTGGTGTCCTTATAGATGAAATTAAAGTGTACAAATGGATAGGCTTGATTTAGCGAGGGC